CAAAATCCATATTTGGCAACTCGAACCTCATGGAACATTCAACGGCGAGCGGCTACAGTGCCTTTCAGTACATTCTACCAATGCACGTTTTTGTTTCCGATTTGTAAACTCTTCAAGGATAGGTTCGTCATGATTCAAGTTTGCGCGTAACCGCTAAATGCCCATCCACTTTATAGAATTAGTATTAAATCATAGTCCATTTTGGTTTCGAACTGTTAAGATTTATTGGTGTTTGTATGGTTTGAATAGGCTATGAAAAGGATAAACATTGTTTTCTGTGTCTTCTTGTGAGCCGTACCCGAGATTGTTAAAACATTGTTTTGTTTTGTGTAAGATTTGCTCTATCCATGCTTCACTTGGGCGGGGATCGGTACAGAAATTTAGAAAAATAACGAAAAGCCATGGCGAAAGACATAGGTTGTTATATTTGGTATTTTTACAAAAGCTCGTTGATAGCAATCATAGTCATTTGAAAGATGAAAAGCTGTATCGAATACAACCAAGATCTTTCGGGAATCTTTGATGTTTCGGGGTAGGTGGCCTGGTTGAAAAAAACCCTTTCAAAACGACCTAATGGTCTCAGAATTTTTTAGACAACAAAGAGTACTTACTTCAGCTCAATGTCCTCTCTGTTTACGGTCCTTGAAAGTATACAAACCGCCTTTACTTCCTTTGCTATTTTATTCCCGATTTTCATCGTCTGTTCTTCATTTTCATTCACATCATTCGCTATAGATTATTAGACGTACTCCCACAAACATCATGAAATTATTTCGTAATCTTCTGCAACGTCAAGTCCTCGGGCAGAGTTCACGCGATTTGATTGTCGCGGTTGATCGCGACAAGACAACTGTAACAATATAATTGCATGCCGATCTTCTTGCATCTCGGTTGTGATAGTTTTCAAACACGAGTAATCGTGGCTATCACAACCAATACAAGAAGATCGACATGCAATGAACTCGTAACACTTGTCTTGTAGCGATTGAATCGCGACGATGAAATCGCGTGAACTCTGCCCGAGGCCTAAGGAGACTTCGTTTTTGATATTCACGAATGCCACTAGTGCCGGGCTCTAGCTGGAGCTTACGCGCATTATGAAGGCAGGCCATTCAAGCATTTTAAAGAGTATTTTACACAAAGCTAGAGTACCATCCCCTTCTCACTCATAGAAATTCCGCTCCAAACCTAAATACAAAAGCCATAATTTATCCTAGTCGCTCAATCAGATAAACTTCCTTGGTGGCACTAAATACTTTTCCAGAACATCAATTTCCGAATGACCTTGCATTGAACTACTTCTGCTATCTATAACTCATGAGCTCACTGCGGATCGCCTCGCAACATGCCCTCGATACATAGAGCCATGTACTGTGGTGACTTTCACTCTGAGCGACATAAAGGGCCAGGCATACTTGACGCGATTTCAGTCGCGAGCGATTTGGCATATTCCAATTGTCCATAACTCACTGTAAGCACAGTTTAAATGTACAGAAGAAAGGGCATTTTATCAAGTTAAGTTATATAACTGTGCATATGCAATTTGCTAGTGTTGCTTGGCGAATTGCCAAATCTCGTCGCGACTGAAACTGCGTGAAGTATGCCCGGCCCTTAAGTGAACACATCCTTCGCCGAAAAAAAAAACGATTTAGTGTAGTGAGTAGTATCTTAAAGGCAGTGTCCAAGCAAAAAGTCGATTTCGAGATTTTGTGCTTACCTGGGGCTATTCGCCATGCTGAATTCGAAAATCAACACTGGAGAACGCGAAAACTGCGAAAAGGCTTGAAAGGAGGAGGGAAATTGCAGGTGGGCGGGGCTGTTCACATGGTGGTGTCATTCTCCCAGCTTCAGGAGCGATCTTCTCGCTTCCGCTAATCACCTCAACATCACCCAGCCAACTGCGAAACGCCTGACATAATATCGGAACCGAGAAAATCGCTCCTAAAGCTTGGGAGAGTGATGTCACGGTTTGAACGGACCCGCCCACCTTAGATTTCCCTCCTACGTTAGGGCCTTTTTTTGGCGTTTTCTTGCTTTCCATTGTGGTTTATCGGATTCAGCATGGCGAATAGGCCCGGGTAAGCACAAAATCTCAAAATCGACTTTTTGCTTGGACACTGCCTTTAAGAACGTCTCAGCAAAACGAAAAATTGCATTTTTGGCCTTGTAAAATCTAAAACATGGCTCGTGTGAGCTACCCTAAAAATAAATAACCTTTCTTCATCAACTTCTTTTAGACCACAATTCAGTCTTGAAGCTCGCGAAAGCTGTTGGAGTTCATTAAAAACGAGATACTGCGCTTTAGGGCAGTGCCTCCCAGATCTGGGGTATAGCAAATTTCAAAGCAGTAATAGGGGGGGGGACCCCCTTATTAGGCCAAACTGACCCACTTGATAAGGCCTCTTCTACACATTAGGCTCAAAGTGGCTCGCGGAGCGCATTTCGGCACGCGCCGGGCGACTTGTCCGTTTCCATCGCGATTCAACTCGTTTCAGGGCAACGACATCCTTTTTGACGTGTTCAACCCTGCGGCCAAAACTAGAGTAAAGTGGGGAAGCTCGTCAGCGCTGCTTCTATGCAGGCTCTAGAAAACAGTGTTTCTGGGTCTTTTGCGCAAATTGGAGGCCGTATTGAATAGATGGAGTCAAGAAGACTTGTATTACGCGGGAATCCCGAGACTCTGGTGAAACACTGCCTTTAAGTCCTGCGCAGGGAGTTCCGCAGGAAGTCATGTGACCTATTCATCAACGAACTCTGAGGTTTTACCCTTGAGGGTAAATTTTCCACCCCAGAAAAGATAAAATTCGTATTCACGAAGCACAGGGTAGATTAACCTAGGGTTGAGCCTACCCTTGAGGGTAAACCTTACCTGGAAAGCGACCTAACCTTTTCATCATCGATACGAAGATAAACCGTGCCCCCCAGAAAGCGACTAACCCGTATTCACAGAAGTGGCTCATCAGTGTAAATTCAACCCTAGCACAGAGCAAAGTTAGGCTTACCCTGACACCAGGGCCCGGCACGTGTCGGTTTCTAGCGTTCCTGAGACGAAGTCCCCCCTAAGTTTCGGAAGTTGCACAAAGTCCCCTTTGACCTACCTACTTGGGAAAAGATGAGAAAGGATAGTCTGAAAGAAAAAGCGTGAGTAAGAGTGAAAATTCAAATTGGATCTGAGGGGTGTGGTGCGAAGGCGACAATCCCCAAAATTTCTACCTTTCAAAACTCTTTGGTGCTAAAGTGACACGGCGCCAAGGTAGGGGGGGGGGGAGTGGGGGGTGGGGGTAGATACATGACTCGATGCCACAAGTAAAATTTTGTGAAAGTTAGTAAGAGCGGATCTACACTGCTTGCATTTTGCGCGCATTGTCGCCTTCCGCGTTCCCCCCGGAGCTGAGTACTACGCATGCACAAAAGCGTGGCATTGGAGCGCGATATTCCACAAAGCGATTTATGAGGAAATTAAGGCAAAAAACAAAGGAAAGGCAATGGAAAATGTTTTCAAGCTCAGAGATATATTCTTGATCGGGGAATCCGTCCATGATAGAAAAATCCGAAACTTATGTGAAGTGACAGAAATGTATGCTCCAGACGACCTTAGATCGTCTGGTGACCGTCTGGAGACGGACTAATTTTGGACAAATATTTTGTATAATTTCTGCAAATAATTTTCTATGTGTACAGTTTAATTTTGGTGTCATATGATTTTGTGTGCGCTGTAAACAAGCAATGTGTTTATTTTAGTCTTACTTTCAAATCGCGCGCACTTTTCGCCATACACGATAGAGCATGTCAACCGTGTGATAACCTGTCCGAAAAGCTTGTGTTCTACGAAATGGCGCTTATTCTTGGTACTCTGGCCCGACTTGTCAAAAACGATATCTTCTTTGCTTTTTGCTCCAAAAACGAAGTCCAGCCCCTGCTTCGAGACGATCTGTGCCGGGCCCTGCCTGACACTTCGTACAAACACAAAGTCATTCCTCCAACCACTCACAAAGGAAGGGTACTTGGTCAAAGTGGCGTCTCATGAAATGTATATTTTTATTGCATGGACCGCTGATTTCAAATTTGTTTTCGGTATCTGCAAATGCTTCAGGGAGGGGAGTTATGCGAATTTTCGAGGCAAAGAATCAAGGATTCAGCTAAGGTAAACGCAGGTATTGAAGTCTTTTCGGAGTTGAAAGGAGTAATAACTAGCATAAGTTCATTGAGAAGGTATTGACTGCAGATAAAGCCCTTTGGTAGTGATCATGACCCCATGTGAGCTCACAGACTACAATTCTGAATGATTGTCGTAACCGCGCGTATAATACAATACATATATAATACAATACGTATAATACATAGTTCAGGTGGAAACTCCACTTCGACCAAGTATCATTCCCTTGTATCCTCTTATTATTGAGCCATAGTGTATAACCTTGCTTTCTTTTCTTTTTCCAGCTCCAATCAGCGCTGCATGTAGAACCCCTTCGCTCTGTTTCAGAAACTTTGCCCACGATTCTTTGAACAAAGTGGCTCGAGAAGAGAAGGTAAAAACAGTGGTTGACAGCTTCTACGCTTTCGCGATGAACCGGGATTAATGCACTAATCTGTAATTGAGCGAACAAAGAACGCTCGTTTCAAGTATCACCATAGTTTTTCAGGCAGGAAATGCTCAATGCTGACTGCTTAACTCGAGAATGTATTTCATAACAATGATGAAGTCAGCGATGGCGAAAAGCACAAGTCGAAAATGCTTTTATCAGTTTTGTGCTGTTAGTTTTGTCCTGCAGTCACAGATACACTGAACTAATAGACATCCTGGGCGCGAACCTCACAGAGCACTCGGATTGCGTTGAGAACGGGCGAATGGCTCCGAACTACTTAGAAAGAAGAATTACGCCGAGCACGCACACGCACTGCGCAGCGTTACGGCAGATGCACTGCTTATACAACTAACCTATGCCTGCAAGTGGACAAACTCTCACAAAACACATGCACACACAACATACTTATATATGTATAAAAAACGAACATGAACCGTATGATGAGATCCGATAAACGTGCAAACGCTACAAACAAGGAAGGAGATAGAAGTTATCAACAAATTAGAGTATAACAGTACAGGATACAGAAGGAACAGCGCACGAGAGAGCGTAGCGAGGGGCGGGTGAGAGACTGGGATTTATGCTGTCAGAATCGTGATTACAAAGCGCAGTGGTTAGAGGGGTTAGGAAACAAAATACGTACAGAACGGAACCAGTACTACCGGGAAGTCAACTATGATGAAAGAGAATAAAGCAGAACTACAGAGCAGGAGACACGGGTCGGTCGATGTTCAAGGTTCATGACGTGGATACAAACGACGATATCGGTGTTGGCGGGACGATGACGACAGGCGCGGAAGAGTAGCCCGACTAGTTGGAACGTGCGGGGTTGGCTGGTGCTCCAAATTTGCCCATGCGAGAAGCTAGCAGAGGATCGTGAGGCGAGAGTGCGCAGCTCAGTCCGGACGAAGTCATGTTTCCACGAGACGACTGCTCGAAAAGTACGTGCTCGCCGGTCGGTGAAGAGTGATGCTGCTGTAGTGCGGTGTAGCTGGAAAACATAATTTCTAGACAAAGACAGAAAACAATCCGAAAATGCAAAAACAGCAACTACAGACTCGCATTTTCAGAAAGCTAAATCAACGGTTGCAACAACTCTTCGAGTAAGCTACCATAGCGTAATTTACCAATCACTTACTACGGTGAGTAAGATTTGACACTAAATACCAAGTTTAAAGAAGCAGAAAGCCTCTCTTACACAAATTAGTACCATTGAGACAATGAAGATGAAAAAAACATGTCTCTGCAAAAATCCTTATAAGGGGCTGTTGTCAACAATTAATCAAAAAAAAAATAAAGTATCAGCCGAGCGCTAGGCTGAAAAGCCAAAGTCCTGCACTAGAACAATGTGCTAGGAGAAGTTAAAGTTAAGTCTGACAAAGAAATTCGAAAAGAACACAAACAATTGGATCCTCTTTATTGGTTCTCGAGGAAGTCCGCTTGCAAAAACCAAAATATCTTTTTGATATAACAGTTGTGTAAAAACAAAAAATTAGCTAGGCTATAAATACTGGAAAAACGGAGCCCAGTGAGGTCGTTCATCAAAAAATCGCACTGACGCCGGCAAGAAAACTTGCAAGAATGTAGTTTAGTGACAAAAAATACAATGCAAACCCGCATAACGCACTGAAGAAACTCCCAATAACTTGCAAAAAAAAAATCAAAAACATGTTTCCCACGGAGCAGATAATTAAATAGGAAATGGGTCTGACTCTGGTTAAATTTTCAAGAAAGTCGTTGGAATTTAGAAAACTGCAAAATTATAGAGCTCGCTATATATCACTCGAAAGCACTTCAAGAGCTTTTATCATTTTTTTGCAATTTATGACCAGCTCCCACATCATTAAGATATTACGGATTTATGGATTTGATCTCCGTCTTAGCGCTTCACCAACGCTGCAACGGTTCTTCATTCTTCAGCTCTTTTCATGCAGTAAAATTCGTGCATTGCTGATTCTTCAAAATGCATTCGTCAATGGGCATAGCTGTAAGCGAACTTGTAAATTTCAAAATACATATAAATTTCAAGTCAATAATGTTGTAAAGCGACAAATCAGAATGAGTGTAACTCCAGAGTTCATCATATAAAGTGTTACTGCTGCTGAGGACTACCTCCTACATAAATTGAAATGCTGCAAGAATATGCATAACTAATGTCAGATTAAGCGTATGCATCGAACTTTCGCTACTAGACCATGGTAGACAAAAACAGAAGGCGTAATAAAGTTAGACAGTTATGAGTACAAACACTGAGCATGAAAGAGTGATAGGATTGAATTTCTTACCAAAACTTAGGATTGCATTTGGACGGGCAAAATTCTAACGGGTGGAAGTTCGCTAACTTCGAGGCCTTGATAAAACTGCTCAATTCAGAAAGCAAATCCAACCATAATATTCAGCCCTCTAGCTTAGCTCTAATTTAATTTTAAAAAAAGGACCAAAACAATAAAAAAAAGCAGTAAAAGAGCAAAAGAATTTTTGAAAAAAGACTCACAGATTTCCATAAGCGACACCCATGTGTGATGATGCGTTATTTGTCGCCATGGTCGAGTCCATCTTTTGTGGCTGGGTCATAGGCATCTGGTATGGATTGTGCTGTGGTGGCTGTTGCTGCTGTGGTGAAACTTTTTCCTGCTGAGCAAGCGAAGTTGATGGTGGACGTGCGACTGACACCGATAATGGCATTCCAGATGTGATTTCGTAGGCTCGAAGTTGGCCTGCAAGTTGCACTATAATGTTGCTCGCTTATAAAGCAAAAAAATCAAAAATATAAAAATTCAATTCAAAATTGCACAGATAATTACTTAAAAGGTAATCAGCTGATTTCAGATGAAAAAAAGCAAATTACTTTGCAGATGAGCATTGTTAGCCTTCGCATCGCCAAGAGCACGAAAGAGCTCCTGCTTCAGTTTGTTCTCAGCAGCAAGCGATTCTTCCAAGTGTACCATCTTTTCTCTCATGATACGCAAATCCATGTTTAACGCCTAAAAAGTGGCATTTACGGCTATGCGGGATTTTAGGGGAGAAAATTCTTTGAGTAGCTAACCTCAATGTCGTTAGTCTCCTTATACTTGCGAAGTGCGTGCAGCTCTTTTTCTATATCCGCCACTCTTTCCTCCCTAGCCGATGCTTCAGCTCGTAGTCTGTCGACTTCCTGTTCCAGTTGTCTTTCTTTCTCTCGATGCTGTTCGGCAGAGTCCATTCTGAAGTTCATATACATGTCATCAAAGCTCTGGCAATGCCCTACGTAAACATGTCAACAGTGTGACATGTGGAACTGTTTTTTCGTAAAAGCAGCAGCAAGATGAGTTTAGCTAATAGGTCAATACGAGACCTTGCAGTGAAAAAAGACGCCGCGTGGCACGGGCAGAAAGCCCTATAAACTCTGAACTCCACTGTAGAGCTAGCAAAAAAAGAACAGAGAGGATGAGATACTCGAGATTGGTAGGGGTTCAAAATTTGTAGTAACGGATGAAAAATACAATCTGCAGATCAAGTCAGATGGTATAATTCTGAAACTAACCGCTTTCCACCGTCCTCCTTGCGAGCCTTCCTTTCATCCATTAATTCACGCTCCACGTCATTCTTCCTATTCATAAGCTCAGCATATTTCTTCTCTAGCTGTGACAAAGAGTTACGATCAACATCTCTCAGTTTTTCCATTGTCATGTATCTGAACAAAGTATATCTTGAAAACCATCGATAACAGTAAACGACGCATTGTTACCTTGCTTCCATTTGCTCCAGCCTTGAGCGCAGCTGCATAGCCTCCTGTCTCGCATGCTTTTCGTTGTTCTGACTTACGGAGAGTTGGATTCTTGCATCTGCTTCCGCCGTTTTCAATTGCATAACTTCAGCGCGCAATCGATCCGCTTCCAAAGAAACACTGAAATGTTACGGGTACTTAGACATGTAAACTGATAAGGTTCAGTATCCATGCTGGACTGGTTATAAAATGATTGCATGATTGCTCGAGAACGGTGAAGTACAGAAATTCAACATAAAATGAATTTACCTATTTGAATCGGTTCCACTTTCTTTTGGCAAGCTCGAGTCTCTCGTTGACTCATAGGTAGTCCCATTTGCTGTTTTGCCATTTGACATCGCCTGCCCGTTAGGCTGAATTCAGAAATTGTCCTCTTGCAAATGACCTACTATCTTCTATCAGTTTGTCATATGATATCATAAAAAATCCGACGAAAAAATTTGTGACAAAAAACGCCAGCAGTTGCTGCTTGCAAAACTGTTCGTTCCAGCTATCGCACGATTTATATGGATTGCAAAAAGAACGTTTGGCCATATTCCGTTATTCACAGCACAGATGGAGAAGGAATCAAAAGAATTTAGAAGCAATAAAATGGCTAAATGAAAAAGCAACGTGTCTGCAATGAAACAAATTTTTGGCTTTGAAATGTCTCTTCTTCTATTAGACACAAGAACTAAATTGCGATCTACTTTTACCACTGATGATTTTTACATCCTTCTAACTGACCAAGTGAAACTTCGATTGTTGGTCACGAATATGTAATGTGTACATTACATTCGATTATTGAAATGGCTTGAAAAGGGATTATGCCTAGCAAAGCAAAGAACTCAAAATCAGACAGAAGAACATGCTATGTAGCTCCTGCTACTAACAAAACTCCTTCATGTCAAGAATTTCAGAAAATGTAATAACACGTCTGATGAGCGGAATCATATCCCAGAGATCCGAATGAGCTTCCGATCGCAAATACGCACAATATTTGAAAAAATAAGGAAAATATTATCGAAATCAAGAACTGAGCATATAACAATGACTCACTACAATTTAAGAAGTGTTTCATGAAGACGTAAAGATGGAAAAAGAATACCTGGCGGCTGCGGCCGTTTGCAATGAGTTGCATAAAGTAGACGCATTTTAAAAAAAAACCCTGATTTCAAATGTACTCTCATTACTCTCACAACGATACTCTAGACGAGCCTTTTTTGTTGACCTCGCAAAAGCAGGGCCATTTACAATCATGAGTATCTTAGCCCTTCAGTGTTAAACGATGAGACAATTTTCAGATTCAAAGTATTTTCAAAGTATTTTTTCTGAATGATGTCTGGAGAGGATAGTCGGTTTACACACATTCGTGATCCCTCCATTGCAACAGCGCAAACTGTTATGGAAAAAACGTTCATGACTTTTTTCTTGGATAATGGCGCAGCGTAAGAAGGACAGATTTGGATTAAGATATCAAGATGTATTTGAAAAACCGAATCATCACAAACGTTCATCATATATCCTTTCCTTGTTAATAATAATGAAACACAACGCATGAGGGAAATAAGGGAAAAAACATACCTTTTCTCTTTCCACAGCATTTGCAGTGATAACTTTCTCTTTCGCTTTCGCACCCTCTCGCGCACCTCGACCGCCTTTACGTGTTGAAGCAGTACATGTCGTCGTCGTCACCGATGCTCGCAACTGCTTACCCACATCACCATTGCTTGCGCGTGATAACTGATAAAGAATACTTTATTAGGTGAAAATATACTTGGAAGGTTTTGTGAACATGGTTAATGACAGCTTGGTAATTCTTTACCTTTTTGGGGTTTTCTTCGGGTACACTATCGTCGTCGTCATCGTCGCCGCCATAGCTCGAGTCGTCCCGCACGTCTTCACCAGAAGATGGCCACAATAAAGTTGTTAACCAAACGAATGCCTCCCATGCCAACCGCACCACCGAAAGACCTCCTGTTGACGTAATAGCATCATCACGCCAACACAGACTCGCTAGAAAATTTAGTTATAGCCCTTGCTAAATGAGTGAAAGCAAAGAGATGAATACCTTCACTCTCTTCATCTTCTTCCCGCTCTCGCCGTTTTTCGCCGACTCCACCCGTTGACGCTACAGCACCTGACTTAGTAAGTGGAGTCGAATGTTGACTCTGCGTTGCAGACACAGTAGCCGTCGTCTTCATTCGACCTGATCCACGCTGCCGCCCGCTGACCGGTGCCACCTTAATGGCTCAGCAAATTCTTCAAAAAACGAAGCAGTTATGGAGAAACGAAAATGCGCGAAGATATTACTAATAGATGTGAACAAGACTAGCAGATGACAATACAAACCTTTCCAGATGTCCGCTTACTAGGATGAACATGATGCACTGTGCCATTGGTAGCGGATGACGCAGGTGGAGGCGGCATCAGCATTCCTTGCCCCGCCCCATTTGTCAATTCAAGCAAATCACTCTCTGCAAAACAAATTGGTTTATGCGTCAAAAACAAGAAAAAAAAATGAAAACTGTTAAATGATAAGTAGGCATAATTGTAAGAGCAAATGAAAGTTGCTTACCGTCATCAAGTATAGCGTTTTTCGCCGTGTAGTCTCTAGGACCCTCATAAATGGCCGGTAACGCTTCCGTCAACATTCGCGCCAGCACCTCATTTCGCCGACACACATCATCTTGCTTTCGACGGATTCTCCATTCCCTGCATAAATTTTCATAAGGAATCTCGGTCACTGCACGTGAATTAAAAATCTTAAGTGAAAATCATGAGAAAGAACTAAGATAAGGCAAATCTCGATGGAGTTTCGAAATTCGCTTCTCAGTCCAAGGACCTTTCCAAAGTTGCAACGAAATATTGATGTTTAGAAGAGATAAGAACGTCAACTGACTGAGCTGACTACGCTTTCAGAAACAACGCTCATGTTAAGATTGTTACGTATCACCAATCAATTCAGCTAGATATTTCGTCAAGCCAATTTTGACATCCTATGATAAAGCAAAAAATTGGCTTCCGCAGGCCTGCGTACATAAAAATGCTTTCGCGACTGTACCGGATTCACTGCAACACAAAAAGATATTTTTTCTCGGATAAAGATTGATCAGATTATGCTGCGGAAAAAAAGCTCGTTAGCCAAAAAGTTGACAAAAGGATTGCAGATATGACTTCAGTTGAAAGGCAGCTGACCAGTTAAGATTATCAGAGACTAAATTCCAATAACCATGAATGACAATGAAACAGTAATTAAAAGTCCTGAAAGGGCAGTGATTCAGATTTTGTGACAGGGTGCAGTGCGGACCTTGTAAGATCTCAACAACTTCACGACATCGCAATTGACGCTAAAATGACAGCTTCCCTGGTTGGTATTTCAAGCGCAAAGTTCTTCAAAAGCGGTTATAAGCAAGTACTTTTGACAAGAAAAATCAAACAAAACGGACTTGATATACTTATACCAAAGATCTAAACAAACCGAAATTCACCACCAAGGATTTGATTCAGCAGCAAATGTAATTAGCCTCTTAATTGGGGGCGGCTCAATGGCATATATAGCGCAAGGCAATTTGCGTTTTCTGCTGCGTGACAGCCGCCACAGGCTTCGCTGGCAACAAATCGATCGCAATGCTTCCAATGCCTTGATGATGGATGTCACCCACCATCATCGAAAAAATCTAACAGTTCCTACTCAGGCGATGTTACACAACAGTGCTAACCACAGCGTAAAACCACAATGAGATAACGATAAATGTATTGATGTACTTACGAGAACAAGAATAAGACAAGGCAAAAGCAGATTTTTCTTTTTTGTAATTGACACTCTATGAATTTTCTAAATACTAGTAAGAACAAAACTCTAATTCGGAAATAAAATCAAGGCAATCACGTGTGGTATTTTCGAAACTCTCACACTTACGAGATTCGAAGCATCCATGCGCAAGTACGCCTAACAAGGTCAAACTTGCTCTTTTCAACAAAAGCAAAACATTCAAAAATAGACAGAGCACGAGTAACTTGTTGAACGTGCGTGTGCGCACATCTAGAATCACACGACCCATAGCTGAATGATTGTGATACGTCTTCCTTGCAGATATAAAAAGGCCTTTTAGAAGAAAGTTCGTAATCACCAAACGTGAAAAATAAATGAAAGCAAGCATTTGCACCGAGAAATTTCAATCAAGAAAAAAAGCAAGAATACACTGTACATCTAGCTCAAAAATTTCGTACTTACTACTTCTATCTCATGTAAGCGAAGAGTTATGTTATATGAAATCAACGCTTTCGCCCAAAAATACCAAAAATGTATAACCAAAGAAACTCACTTGAAGTAGTATCGAAGGCTGAAGGAGATTATGACTAGTGGATATCCTATACAGTGTGCACCAAAAAATGAATTTAAACTTCTTGGTATTACAGGTGCTAATCCTTGTGTTTGTAAACAGCTCGCTAAAAATTGCATCGATGATGCGCGAAAAATTAGCTGTACAGACTCACGACAAAGATAATGCAAAAACGGCACGTCTGAGCCAACAATTTCAAGATGGAAACACCTGGAATCACGAATGGTTTAGCACATTACAGTAAACGAGGATAAACTCACTTCAATCGTATCCCCGCCTCAAAAGCAACTATAAATATCCAAAAAGCTAGTGCAGAGAAACATTGTTTTTCTGAAGTGAAAAAAGACAATATAAGCGGTCTATAGAACAGCTCGAGAAAAATACATGTTCAAAAAAGAAAAACTTGCCGTGAATCATTGCGGACAGCGTCCGTAAAAAGCCACCATGAGAGTGCCAAATGACATGCACCCACACATATGTACTGGCAAGAAATACCAGAAATTTCACTGGTATAAATAAGTAGCAGATCAAATCTGATGTTGCCGTCACGCATACGAACAACACCGAGAATTTCTGTAAACGTGTCTAGAATTAATCCCATGAAGAAATATGTACAAAAATTTGCGGGAAAAAAAGTTGTAACGAACTGCAGTGTTGTGATTTGCTAATGTGACGACTGCATTGTGGTTTTTGTGGACCGCCTCATAGCCCGTGCGAAGAATGAGCCAAAATGGGTATAGTAGCTCGAAGCGGAATCCGCACAACATATCGAGTGATATTACGCCGATCCACAGCAACATAAGGCGGACATATACAATTGGTGTGGCGATGCTGAAAACTTCACGTAATATCAAAGTGACGTCAGAACGTACTGCACATTTGTGGTGCAGAGACCGATTCTATAGGACAGTCCTACTGGCGCAACTAGAACAAAAAGATCGGTGAGAATACAGATATACTTCGTACAGTATATTTCAAATGATAGAATTGTACAGATAAATTCTTCTTGAATATAAGGTACCGTACTCTCATATTCTCAAATGATAATGGATGAATCAGAGCAAAAATCCTCGTGAAAATGGAGTTCCTCGCTGTGGTAAAAAATATTTCAAGTTTCAAACAATTGTTGGTCCACTGATGGACAAAGAACCTATAGAACAAAAACAAGGCAACTAATATCCGATATTTTTTGTAGTCGTATTTATCGTCAAATTCAGCTCTGAGATCGAAAAACAGCTATGATAGCCACTGATTGCATACATAACGGGACAAAAGAGTCAACATGATTTGAGCTTTTTCTCAGGTAATATTTTGTTGAAATTATGCGAAGAATATGCGTAAAAGTCATAAAACTATTGCTCGCGCGATCGTCATAAGATTGCACGATCGCTATCCATAGATTATTGATTTGAATAGAAAATCTTTCTCAAAGTAATCACTGAGCAGTAAATATTTCTACCCAGGAAATCAAATTGATGTTCGGAATTTTCCCAAAACGGAGTAATTCCCTGTAAATTCGGACACGATATTTTTAGATTCGAACTCGTCTAAAGATACTACTCATACTTGAAGAACATGTGTCAAATCATCACTTGCAAATCTGAATTAGGTACGTACTCCCACTTTCTGACACTTCCAATACAATCATTTTCGCCTTTCGCGCAATAAAAAGAAAGAGAGAAGAGAAGCGTTCACAAATTTTTAGGACAAAGAATTAATGATGATCACCTGTCTCTGATCGGATCTGACATCCGGCCTCCTCGGCCCTTCATGGTGCGGCGCAGCTTCTGCGACTCTACAGCCCGCGCGCGTTTCTGCATGACTGAAATAACAAGATAAGGGAACATAGTCTTTCAGAGACGATAAGCGACTAATGAGATAAAAAAAAAATACGCGCACGTAATCAGTGCAATAAAACTACGAGTGCAACAAACTCGAGACGAAAAAGGCGAAATGCACAGCCACTGCTGTGACTGCAATAATCAAACGATGATGTAGGAATAGGCAGTAATGTAGACATGACAACGGCACCTCGGTTACTCAAAACAATATTTTCAGCAGCGAACGGCTGCGACTTTCCAATGAGGAAAGCTGCGTAGCAAGAAAAGAGATGAATTTTTGATAGCCGCCGCAAGCACCGGCAAACAATCACATATGATCGATTATTTCGAAATGACATTCAGAATTGAAAAGCGAGAACAGAACGCTTTGAGACAGAAAATCTGAGCATAGGAAAAGCATCACAGAGAGAGAAGGATTTGCATCAGAATGGTACGAATCAACGTGGCCGGCGCCGTATAATCGATAAAATGAAACTAGACGGTGTCAGTCCAGGTGCCAAGATTTGTAAAGAGAATTAATTCCTCAAAAACTAGTAAGCAAATCAATAGCTGTAGACAAAGCCGTGGGCAAATAGGGCAGATAGCTCAAATGCAGAAACAATAATTCTTCAAAAATCAGCCACACTCTTCAAATCAATTGCATTCAGTGGAATAGTCGATCATTTTAGATTGATGCTTCACGCCTCTAGTCAATAAATCAAATTATTGCCAGCTGGTATAACTTGCCAAAAACTCAGACGTCCTTTTTATGTACCATAATACACTTTCTTCTGACAAATCAAGCGTTTCTGCCATCAACAAAGAAAAATTTTTACACGAAGATAAACAAGAAATAAGAGGTCTGATCTGTTTATGAATTATAAAAGTGCACTCTACGATAAACAGTATTGACGACACACTTTGCTAAATCCGCACTTCATTGACAAACTAAAAAACGTTCTGATAAAAGAGAACGGGAAGGAAGTGTGAAGAGAACACCCTGATAATGGAGTAAAACACTTTGCAATCTTCAATCTGGACGAATCGTAATGAAGCTAATCATATCCGCTTCTTGATAAAAAAAATAAACAATATAAAAAATTGTTAGGAATGGTAGAAGGGTTTTGGGGTCCAAAAAATAGTCTTTGAAGACATTTTACATTTCAATTTTCAAGACTTTGAAGACCGTGTCGAAGAACTGTCAAGATCGGTTCATACCGTACATGGCGTTTGGCCATACACTAAAAAGCTGATATTCTTCATTTTCAAAATAAAGCTATTGACAAGCTGGCACAACGAAAAATCATTGGCATTTCGATAATCCGGGTCCCAAAATTTGGAAGTCGTGAATTTTGCTCAAACCGATCTATGGATATCGGCTATCAACGAATATCTTCAAGCATAAACGTCCATTTGTACGGTTACGGTAAGTATACGGTGTAAAGTAGAGGTGCGTTTCATGCACAGAAACGAAAATGACAAGAAAAACATAAATGTCCACCAATGTTTTGATACGAATTGAAAGCATAGCAGTTTAATAAGTATTAGAAAATTGCAATGAGCATCATTATGACAGAAGTATTTTGAGAAATCGATTGATATTCGCGAAAAAATTAGACTCGTCGTCAGTATCGCATTGGGCAAAGACAATAGCATGTGTATATAGTGACGAAATCAAAGATATCCTAAGATGCTTACCAAGCGAATGAAATCAATACCTCATTAGTGAAAGCGGGAAGCCTTCCACGTCATCAGAGAATGGATGGAGAGTGGACAGCGCAAAACGACGAACGCACTCGTATTGCGAACAACAAAAATTGCTACTGCGGGGTGTCAGAAGCCACCCAGACTCGCACTGTTATTTTGGCAAGTGCAGGTAAACTATTGATCAGGTGGCTAAGCGCAACAAGCGGGAGCAGCGAGAGATAAGCGGGGAGCAGCCTGAGCTGGATGGTCCCGACGCCTGAGGGGGCTGGCTGGCTGTACTCTCTCGGTAGAACGGGAAGCGGTAATCGATTGCGTGCTTCGCAGCAAGCCGATCGATAGTGCGGCCAGACAGAAGTTGAAGAGCGGGGGACATCACCCCGGCCCCGTCCTCGTCAGCTTCGACTTGGGAAAAAACAAAATCGGAAGCGTCGTCGACCACGTTGGTCACCCCGACGTCGGTTGCGTCGCGGGATCGATCGCGGCCGCACGTTACACAGCCTCACACTAGTCGTAGGCCCCGGCCTACAACGCCGGCGTGATGGACCCGCCAAACAACCGTGGCCGGGGGCGATACTAGCGAATAGGACCCAGTCCTGCACGAGTCGAGCAGGACCCTCAGAGCATGACGGGGGCGCAGCGGGCGAGATCTCACCCAACGGTCTCTGCGCTCCTCGCCACATTCGCCGGGGACCCCGTCGTCTGCGCTCTCGCCCTCGGACGCAGTAACAGTTGATTGCCAGCTTCAACTTTACTGCTGTCCAGCTTTACCCTCGCAGTTCCGTCTTTTCCAAGCTTGGGGAGGGTTTACAGGACCCAATGTTTGCAGAAGACTTGTTAATCACCTTGTCCTCTAAAAATTCATTACAAACACACATGTAGATCTAATTTGATTAGATTAGGTCATCAACTCATATTTATGTGCCCTCTTTAGTCCTCAAAAAATTTTCCTCTACCAGTTCACCAGTTTCTGGTAACGTTCACTTAATATTCATTCTGAGACTAGGAGACTCCAATACGCTTTGCACACATTGTCTAGACAAGCTTAATCGTATAGTTAACAAGTTTATACTTGTGTTCTCTCTCGTCTAAAACTGTTTACTAGGTGGGACCAAGTAACAAGTTCAAGCTTGTTTAGAAAATGAGTGCAAAGCATACGAGGCCTCCTAGTCAAAACCATCGAATTCCTCTTTATTTTCAGTGATTTGATACACTAAACTTCTCTTGCGAGAATACGAGCAGCGAAGTTCAGATGCAACTCTCATCACACTAATTGTTCTCTAGCATGCGTGGCTTAGATCTGCATTTCGCACTATAAATAAGGCCCGTTCACTGATCATGCTCCACGTGCCGGTGCACACATCACGCACCCACGCACGCCTAAATTTGGCGCGCGCAGTTGCAGGCTGGTGTTGACGAACTACGCCACCTTGTGTGATTAATATGACGCAGTGCTTCAAAAAGCTGTATCGATAACATCGAACGACAAAGGTGGAAGAAGAACAAAAACGCTGTTCCAGTCTTTCTTCCGTCAGGGCAAGTGTTTCGGCCGTAGCCGGCATGTGGGTCACGTCGTTGGGGATCTTAAGACGCGATTTCGGGAATGACAACCTTGCGCACACAATGTTCTCAGTCTTTTTTCTGCAAGTGTGCAAAAAAGCACATGTGGTGCAGCTGCAGCTTTGACAAGGAATTACCCACTAAACAACTTCACATTCAATGACGCATCTGCATAGCACGGGCACGGGGGTGTAGGACGATCCGCACGACCTAATAATTTCCACACACGACCACCGCCGCGCGCGACACACCCTGTGGCGGTTTTGCCCAAGCAAAACAGTGAGAGGAAGATTTGCGGCGTGCATTACATGTTAAGACAAATCAAAATCAGGGAAACACTGGAGTCCGCCCGTGCGAAAAGACTGTCTCCCCGAAACTCCTGCTTCTGCCAAGGGAGCGCAGCCTCTGTTTTAGGTGTGAAACCCGAAATTGTATAGGCTGCTGCATGACGGAGGCGCAATATCTGGGCGCAAACGCGGCTTTATTAGCCGCAGAGTGCATGAGTCGCAAAATATACAACGGTGAAGATACGCGCGCGCCGCGTTTGCGCCCGCTCAACTTATACTGCTTCGCCTTCGTCATGCGATAACCTTTAGCTTTTTGCAGCACACGTCCGCTTGTCATGTAGTAAAAGGAACCAAAGTTGAAAACAATTCTCTCGTTGCAAGCTGAGTGCATTTTGGTGACCTGATCTTTTAGGCTCTACATGCACTTCATATACAGGTGACAAATATGATTTTTAGAGTGTGAAAGGGTGCGTAATTTTCAAAAATTGGGGTCATTCCAATGGCAATACATATAGCGCAGCTGAGGACAACAGTAGCCGCTCACAAGTACAATAGGATCAGTGCATGTTTACGGATGATCTGTTGCTGCGCGAATACGCTGCGCATACAGCCTCTTTTGATTGCGCTTTGCGCTGCGATGCTGCAGGCGTTGCGTGCGCGCGCAGCCACTCTCACTCCTCGGGTAACACAACATTTATTTTTTCTTAAGAGGGCTCTGTCCGAGCCATCCAGAAACGCCTATTTTGAGATTTTTCTAACTAGCTTGCGACTCGACTTTGTCCCAGCTAGCTACGAATATCTATTATCGATCTGTGTTTCCTTTCAGTATCAATAGTTCTAGAACTGGAACATACGAAAATGCTTTCGTCACGTCTGTTCGAGTTTATACTTGGTTTCAATTTATTCTGGATAATTTGCAACTTAAAATTGATAGGAGAACATCTTCGAACTTGTTAGAAAACGTGTGCAGCAGCGCTCGAGTATCGTAGTCTCAGGATAGATAGGAAAATCATGCTCGCTTTTCGCACAATGGACAATTTTCGCATTTTGTAGAGCAATCAATGAGACCAATTTTTGCCATATCAAACTGTCAGATTCAAAACATACTGATTAGGAGTTTATTTCCGTGGCAGTACACAGAAAGTTGCTGCTCACATATTGTAATTCTATAATCATCGTCTCCCTCTGCACTTATGCAAAAAAAAACCGCAAACGTTCTTTTAATCCACTAAAATGACACATAGAACTGGTTCTGAAAATTTATGACCTGCATAAATCACGCTGCATTGACGAACTTATTCACAACCGTTTTTCTGCTCAGGTATGGCGTAGGGAATCCACTTGGCCATGAAGAGGTATGTCATAATCTGTTAGGCTACATTTGGAACCTAAAAGTGAAATGGGTGTCGGCAAAGCCAATATATTCGCATTTTTCATTATTCCATAGTTTTGT